GGGCAGCCACCAAGTTCATGGTGACCTGCTACAGCAACCATAGGGACTAACACACAAACCTTCCAGGTGCTGTGGGCGGAAGCAGGTCCTTTGTAGATCCAGAGTAAGCCATCATCAAGTGACTCCCTGACTGTCCCTGGCACCTCACCCACACAGTGTGGTATATGACATTAGAGTGACACTCAGGATGCGTGGGTCTGAGAGTCCTGGAAGGGATCTACCCCCATATCCACTAGAGTGCAAGAAGTGGCATTGCCCTTCTACTTGCTGTTTCCTCATGTGCAAACTCCAGGCCGTGATAGTTCCTAGCTTAAAGGTCCGTGTGACAATGAAGTGAGTCAACAGTACTAATGTCCTTATTGTGGTAGTACCTGGCACTTAATAAATGCTCAACCAGTGGTGCCCCTTTAATACTCACGTGCTGTTGAAAACTGCTAAGGGAACATGTCACATGCACTCCACCTTGGTAGCTCCTGGGGCTCTATACGCACTGCCCTCCACAAGCAGATGATCAAGACATGTTACAGAATGGAATATCCTCAAAGGGGCAGAAGAAGGTGGACTGCAGGCCAGGCCCACATGTCCACTATTACCAAGTCCTCTGGCCTTAGAGCTCTCTCCACCTCTCTTTGAAGATTTCCAGTAACAGGAAATTCAGTGGAGATGTCCCACAAAGACAAGAAAGCTACTCATGCATGGTATCTCCTCCCACCTCCAGGAATCCCTAGCATTCATTTGTTTGAATATTTAACCAACATTTACTTGTTCCAGACACTGTGCTCAGGGCTGGGAACAGCATAGACACAGCCTTAGATACTGCAGCCCTACAACCAAGTAGAGGTTAAGATTTGTAGATGTGATCATGGACATGCGTATGCGCGTGGATCTAAATTTGTACATCTATCAGTGCAACATTGACATATGATGGCTCAAACACTTCGTGACTTCCTTTAGATGTACATTCTCATTCAATTATTCCCCAAATTCACGCTGGGACTTTATTACACAGATCTAACAAACAGAAATCCAATTACACATGCTCAGAATAGCTGGGCTGCCACCGGATGAAACCTCCACCAGGAGACACAGAGAGTAAAAGGCGGCTGCCCAAGGCCAGCTTACCTGGGCACACCCCCCCCACACAACATTTCCTTTAAACTAACCCTTGTCCTATGCCTGTGGCTTAAAGCAAGGAAAACATTTATTTAATCAACTGCCTTTTGAACTTCCAAAAGCCCAGGTCTCCTCTAATGGGGTTTCCAGGACTATTTTGATTGTGGTTCTTTCTACCTTACACAATGACATTAAAACAAATCTCTATAGAAGGTATCTTTCCACCATATCGTTATCATCCCCATTTGTAGATAAGGATCTGAGTTCACAGGAGTTTAGCGATTTGCCCAAGGTCTGGTCGAAGGAAGGTGGAGTTAAGATCTGAACCTCATCGTCTTTCTGAACAAAGAACTCTCCACCTCTGCAGTCCTTCCTTTACTTTGAACTGAAAATGGTCCTTTTTAACTGCCACTTTAGGAATACAAAAAGCACAAATCTCCCTCTTCTACATGATGGCTCTTGAAAGACATAAAAGTGCTGTCACCACCTCACCCTGGGGCCTCTTCTTCTCATCACCAGGCTAAACACTCGCCCTTGCTTTAGTCTTTCCTCCTGTGATTTGATTTCAAGAACCCTTGGCCACCCAGACATTCTTTGTCAGAACACAATCCAATTTTCCGGTGCCCTCTTAGGGCCTGAAGGATGACAGAATGAAGTAGATCATTTGTTGCTCCTTTCTTTTTTTTGAGACCACAGTATGAGTAAAAACTCACTTTCATCTAAAATCTAAGATTGGAAAGCCAGCCTCGTAAGTATGACTTGAGGTGGCAAATGTCCTTCCACCTCCTTGGGGGAGACAAGAGGGAGTAGTGGGGACTGTGGTGAGTTTCGGGGTGCAAGCCTTACACAAAGGGTCTCCTCTACTCAACTCCAGGTGCAGCCCACGTGGGCCCAAGGCCCAGGACCACATTATCTCATGATTTTTCATCAGAAACTGAAATCCAAATTTCTATTCCAATTTGTCCACTTTTACATGACCACAATGATTAAAGAATAAAAGCCAGCCAGCCACATGTACATATACAATGCACGTACACACAGGTGTGCACGCACACACACACTCTCAAGCTGCATCCCCTACTTTTTTTTTTTATTTTTAACTTCAGAGTAATTGTTGACTTAAAACTTAACATTTATCCCCTCCAATCTTGCCCAATTAGGGTCAGGTTTCAGATTTTTAAAATATTTATGCCTTTAGATTCTGTCCTTCGAAAATCATTCCATCCCAGGTTGAAGAAGCTAATTTGTGCATTGCCATAATTTGCATCTTCCTGGATTCCCACTTCCTTGCCATCTCAATCCCAGACTCAGGTCACTGAACCCCCACTGTATGCAGATCTTTAGGGACCCAGTAAACTTATCCTTAGGGCCCCATTGTGTTCCCTGTGCTTTGAAGGAGTGGCTGAGCAGCAGCCGCACAGATGGAGGGGCTCTCCTGAGGGTACTAACAACTGTGCCAATGTCCAGGGCTGTCCCTGGTTTCAGGCTGAGGCCAGCACAGGGTTCTGTGGACACTTCCATCCATCTTAGAGTCATGGCAAAATTGACTATGAACATTAAGAGTGAAGCCACAGCCTGTGCATCCCAGCTATCTAATTAAGTCTGGCCCACTGACACGGGCAGCAGGGATGGCCAGAGGACCTTTCCTACTGCAGGGCTGAGCTTGGTGATCTGTGGGCTCCATTTCACACCTAGAAGAATAAACAATCATTTGCTAAAAAACTTGCTTTTTCATGAGGCTGCAATAGGCAAAATCTGTCCTCTTCCAAAACTGTATCTATCAGGAGGGACAGAGGATATTTTGGGTGGGATCCATGAACTTGAACTTGCACTGGCCTCCCTTGAGTGGAGCTCTCCAGGCAGGAGAACAAGGATTCTGTGTGGGGCTCCACAGGAGGCTCTCAGGAGGGGACTGAGGGCTTAAGGAACCCACTGAGGGTAGTCACTTGTCTGGGTCCATGATGGCATAAGCACACAGAGCCATCTCCATTTGCCAGTGTCTGCTCCTGCTTTCTGGAAGGTGGGGGAGGGTGAGGAGTGCATGTGGCCAAAGGCACATTGACCATGTTTTCATCCATGCACATGATCTCCTGTGAGCACTTGGTCCCCTGAGCTGAGAAGGTAAGGCTGGGCTTGTTCCATCTCCAGGCACCATGCAGGGCCATGTGTCCAGGTCTTAAGCTGGTCCAGCCTTCTTCTCATGGAGAATTAATGTTCCAAGCCCAGGAAACCACCGGCACCAAGCTTGAGTTTCTTACAGATTCCTTGTTTTTCACTAGATCTCACAAATACACCATTTCTTCTTTACTAAACTATCACTAGACAAAGACACAGCCTCCTGCAGGTCGCAGTGAGGAGAAATAAAGCCCTCTACGACCCTTTCTCCCTGGAAAACCCAAGAAGGCCTTCCTTTTGGCCATGAACAGTTTTGCTAACTGTCTGAACCAGAGCTGGGAGAAGGTGAGGAAGGGAGGGCTGGGCATTGATGTCTTCTCCTAAAACATGGGGACAGAGTTGATTTCAGGCCTCTCTCAGCACTCGGAGGAGGAAGGATCGTCCTCAAGACTGAAGTCCCTTCTCCCCAGGTCTTTGCTGCAAAAAGAAGCAGCAACCAACGTACTCAGAAAAAATGGGCAGAAACACATAATTTAGCAGTTTAAGGAGAACCCTGTGAAGACCATGGAAAACTGAAAACATGGGCTGCTTCCCAGCAGAATTTGGAGTCAGAAGTGTAGCTAATTAGAATGAAGCACAAAGTAAAAATGGACAGACTCCCCAACTGAGCTATATGCCTCAGGTTATATTCAAATTAAGGCAGGTAGCACAGGATGAGCTATTAAAAAATTTAATAGTCACTTATTTTAATGTTACTAACAAAAATTTAGTACATCAGGCTCATGAGTTTTATTATCCTGTAATGAGACCAAATCTGTTTTTAAGTTTGAAACAGGGAGGCATTTATTAACACCACACGCCAACCAGCAGGGCCAACCAGCCACTCCAAAACAGCGAGGCAGTTAAAGAATATACATTTAGTAAATAAAAAGATTGGGTGCAGAAAGTTGGTACCAATTGAGATGGTATGGGGACTGTTGATGCTAAGAGAACAGCACCCTACAAAGAAAGAGAGGGAGGATGGAGAGGGAGATAGAACTGAGCGTGGGCACAGATTTGCCCTTGAGATTCAGGCTTGGCAGAGGGGAGCAGCTTGGCCACCCACAGATGCTGTCTGACCCAGGTGTCTCTGATTCAGCAGTTTGCTGCTTAGTGAGGTCACTCTGGCCCACAACCCTAGGAGCACAGGGTGCTTACCAGATATCCAGACTAGTACACAGTGAGCCATGAAAGCCACGTGCACTTGGGAGACAGGCAGAAGAAGGCATCACGTACCTTCACGATGTTCTCATCGGCTGACCTGCACTCCACAGCCTCTGACACATCCACTACGGAACCGTCCTCTTGAACCCCCACGACTTTGACAGGGACCGAGACAGGCTTTCCCGTGAGAATGGCAGTGTTCAAAACCTCCGTGTCCTGAAGGAGAGAAGAGGTGCCGGTGAGCAAGCTTAAATCCCAGGGAGCGGGTTGAGGCCGGCCAGCACCACCTCTGCCCTAAGAGCCTGCAGGGATGCAGCCATGTGAGGGTGGGGTCCAGCCAGACTGATGGCCACACCCGGCAGCGAGGCCCTCTCCTGGCACCCAGCCTCTCAGGGAGCACAGAGCTGCTTCCTCCTCCACCTCCTCCCCCACCCTGCACCTCCTGCATCTGTCGGGCTTACACCCGGCACAGGATTTCTCCCCAGCATTCTCCAAGGCTCGGTCTGAGGGTCCTTTGAGCAGTGACTGCCTGATCTGGGCTTAGTACACACTTAGTACACAGGGAGCACATGCTTCATTTTTGTTTCAAATGAAGAAAGACAACAGCACAAAGAGCAAAGGAGAACTCATCACATCATAAACCTCTGCACACCTGGGCTGGGCACCATGGCCCTTCCCTCACCTCTTGGGACCCCAGAGATTCCCCTGCAAACCCTGATGACCCCTGGGGGCTCATGGGTTCTGTCTTGCTAATTCAACTTCCTGCTGTTGCCTATCCCAGCACCCCTGCCCTCCCAGTGCCTCTGGCCTGGACAGCTACGCTGGCCCCAGGGTTCTCCCTGGGTCTCTCTTCACAGGGCTCAAGATTTCCAACCCAGACTATCTCTCTGCCAGATCAAAACTCCTGGTAAGTGCCATACTGTTCTTAAGGTAGGGTCCCACTCACTGAGGAGGGCCACGTGGGCCTTGCCCACATCCCTGTCCTTCTCCTGTCCCCTTCTCTCTGTCCCCTGCACAATCCAGCCTTCTCACAGTCTGGGCAGCTTCTGCCCCACGTTAGCTCCCATGCAGAGGTTCCCTTGTCTGCAAACAGGGACAAACAAGCCCCTACTCCACAGGGAGCTTATGGACATGAACAGGCCATCTGTGCCCACCTTGGGGCGGAAAGTGCCGTGAGGACAGCCCTCCATGCAGCTGCTACAGTGGAGCTGAGAATGTTCACTCAACAAATGAGCTAAAAAGCCACCTCAAGGCTAATTCAGGGACCACGGTGGAGAAGCTACTTCCAAACCAGGCTGAAGAAGAAGGCCAAAAAGACAGCCCGCCATGGCCGCACAACTCAACTCAGCATTGGAAGTCCACAGCATCGGCTCAGATCCCCAGGAGGGTCCAACAGGCCGTCGCCCATCACTCCTCTCCTCAGTCCCTGCCTCAGCCCATGCACTAGGAAGGTCCCACACTCCGTGTCCTCAGTTGGCCTCCCACTCTCCATTCCAAACCTGGAGATGGGCAAGAGAGGGGGCGGGCCTTGAATGACAACCACAGCGGCCACTGAGACTGAGCTACTCGGAGACTGGCGGTGTTCTAAATGACTGGCATGCAAATAATATCCACTGTTCTTGCCCAACAACCCTCCCAATATAGTATGAGTTTTAGTACCATTTTATACATGATTTGCTTTGCAGTGATATTAAACCTGCAAATATTAGCTAATTTTCAAGAGAAAATATCAAATTTATAAGGAACACATGGGAAAGGTGGTGGCCCAATCCAACAGGGTGGTAAGTCAAACTTCTTGTTTTGACATGTGTTCTTTCCTCGATGTGGGTTTTTTGTTTGTTTGTTTGTTTGTTTGTTGCAAGGGATTCCACCCAGAGGTGCTTAACCACTGAGTCACATCCTCAGCCCTTTCTTTTTATTTTTTATTTTGAGACAGAGAGTTTCACTAGGCTGCCTCCAGTATCATTAAATTGCTGAGGCTGGCTTTGAACTTGTGATCTTCCTGCCTCAGCCTCCTGAGCCACAGGGATTGCAGGTATGCGCCACCACACCCAGCTTGGGATGGGGTCTTAAAAAAATCTTTTCAAAATAATGTAAATAAGTTAAGCCTCTCTAAAATCTTAAAGCAGGTCCCTATGTACCCTTGGCACACTGAGAGAGCAATTACCACGTCCAATATTACATCAAAACAATGATCTGGTTGCGGAAACTGCTAAACATCTACCATCAACCACAGAACAAGTCTTTTCTGCTCCATCTGCGGAAGCCCCAGGTCCGATGCCTAGAGAGCATCTCCACATTCCTCTGTGGAAGGCCCTTCCGTCCCATGAAGGCAACACCAAGGTCAAAGTCACAGTGAGGCCATCAGAAAACTCTCTTCTCCATAAAAGTCACAAGGAAACTGGCAAACACTGTCAAAATAACGTTTCCTGGGCTCTGGAAATACTACAAACACTTTTACGACTGGGAGAGCATTTATATAAGAAATAGAGGGCCAGGTCCTGGTCAAACACAGAGACCTTGGTGGCATTTTAACTTGAGGCCACTCCCCCACTCT